TTAAGAGCTAACTCTTCAAAAGTTTCTTGATTATTTTCTTATACAGAGGATTCTGCGGGTCCAGGCAAATTTTCCTCCCATCCTTCAGCGTAGCTCTGCCAGGGAAAGAAGAGGCGCGCCTTTCAGTCCTTGGGTTTGAATTTGGGATTAGGCTGGCGGGCGGCGGGTGGAGAGGGGCGGTAGGGAAGGGGAGAGAAGAGGGTGGGCACGAAAGAAGCGAGTGCAAGGACTCACATCAGTTGGGGGCTGGGGCAGTGGAGTCCAGCCCCGATCACCTCCAGGCTGGAGATGCTCCGGGGATGGACCGCAGAGGTGGTCTTCACACACACGCAGCGCAGGTCTCCAGCTCCACCTTCAGAGTCTGCTGCGGGTGGGTCGGGGACAGTGGGGAGCGACGACTCTGTGAATAGCCAGCGGTACCTTAGGGATCTTCTCGTGGCGTGGCGTCTGACCTTCACTTCCTCATCCACAAACCAGACCTCCCTCAGAAAGTGTCTGACTGTCCAGGTGGTAGAGCGCAGCGGGCAGCGCCTGGCACAGCGCCTGCGCTTTTAGCCGCGCTCGGTCAATCACAGCTGGGAACCGAGACGGGTACAGACTCCGCCCCAGCCCCGGGGGTTCCAGCACTCTCTCCCCACCGCCCCCGACCTCCCCCAGGCCCTGCTTCATTCAGCTCTCACCTTGGGCGAGAGCGACGGCTAGTAGGAGCAGCAGCCCGGGGCTGAGCCGCGGGCCGGGGGCGCGGGTGCCAGCTGCCAGGCTCATGTCGCAGAGATGCCAGCAGGAGCCGCGAGCGCAGGGGCAGCCCGGGCTGGCGCTCCGCAGACCGGTGGTTCCCGAGACTCTCAGGCCGTTTTATACCCGCGGTGGGTCAACTTCGTCGGAAGCCTGGGGTTGAGGATGAAGAACTGCGGTGCGGAAGCTGAGACACTTCTGCAGAGTTGGGCACTGTGCAGCCAAGATTAGGGCAAAAGGAAAAGAAGCCAGGGATCAGCAGTCTTGCTGGGAGCTGGTAGCAGGATCCAACCGCTACCCTGAATTCATATAATACATGCACATTTGTGCAGTTAGAAATGGTACTTTAACCTTATAAAAATGTATGTTTTCTTGGTTATGGTTATGTGCAACAGTAGAGTTCTCTGTAGTCACCGTGTTGCAGTTGATACAGCAGGAAAGTTTGTTTCCTTCTCAACTCTCAACTGCCTCATCAAGAACAAATACCGTATGCTAACACATATATATGGAATGTAAGAAAGAAAAAAAAAAGGTCATGAAGAACCTAGGGTTAAAACGGGAATAAAGACACAGACCTACTAGAGAATGGACTGGAGGATACGGGGAGGAGGAAGGGTAAGCTGTGACAAAGTGAGAGAGCGGCATGGACATATGTACACTACCAAACGTAAAATAGATAGCTAGTGGGAAGCAGCCGCATAGCACAGGGAGATCAGCTTGGTGCTTTGTGACCACCTAGAGGGGTGGGATAGGGAGGATGGGAGGGAGGGAGACGCAAGAGGGAGGAGATATGGGGATATATGTATATGTATAACTGATTCACTTTGTTATAAAGCAGAAACTAACACACCATTGTAAAGCAATTATACTCCAATAAAGACGTTAAAAAAAAAAAAAGAACTGCTCCTTCACTTCTGCCTTTCTTGTTGATTACCACTGAGTGAGTTTGGCAGGTGCGTTTCTTCCAGATGTGCCGTTTGTCATTGTTTTCTGCTACTAAAGAGTTGAATTTGGTCTCCAGGTGATGACTTGGTTCCAAATTTCACGTGAATGTGGAGACTTTCCTCAGTCTCTTGAATGGGATCCACCTGGCTCTACCAACCATCATCCAATATACTCTAGGAAGCAAACTCAGTTAGCCTCATCTATCCTCTTATTCTGAGAAAAATTGTAACGGTAATGTTTGGATGCACGCTTTCTATAAAAATTGCTACCTGGATGTTTCTCCATTCTGCTCAGGAAGAAGAGAGGTCAAGGAGAGTTTTCAGGCCATATCTCCCGGTGCCTGCTGCCACCTGGCCAGTACAAGTGACAGGGTGAGATGGGCTGCACCGTTGGCGGGAGTAGTGAAGCTCTCAGGAGGACACAGAGCATCTGGGAGTTGAGTGTGTAAAAGATGCAACAGAATCCTGCACAGAAAAGGTCCAGAGATCAATATAGACCATCTTCCCTTCCCTGAAAAAGAATGGCTTTGGCTCTTGATCAGGGCAAAGCACACGCTCATCTCAAAGCCAGAGGCTCCCTGTCACACTGATTAACAGTGGTGAAGGGCCTCAGGAGCCCACTGCATGGAACTAGCAGACCTCTTTTTCTTTTTTTCCGGTACGCAGGTCTCTCACTGTTGTGGCCTCTCCCGTTGCGGAGCACAGGCTCCGGACGCGCAGGCTCAGCGGCCATGGCTCACGGGCCCAGCCGCTCCGCGGCATGTGGGATCTTCCCGGACCGGGGCACGAACCCGTGTCCCCTGCATCGGCAGGCGGACCCCCCAACCACAGCACCACCAGGGAAGCCCTAGCAGACCTCTTAAATGCTCAGCAGGACCAGATTTCTGCAGGGATATGGAATTTAGTTCCTGGGCCTGGAATGTGCTTTCTCTTACTCTCCCACCACCTATCTTTTCAGCTGACTAGTTCTGTTCATATTTCTGGTGTCTTGCTTAAATATCACCTCCCCACAGGGGCCTTCCCCGACAGCTAAAGCTACTTGTTTTCCCTGTTGTTGTCTTGTAACACCCACTGCTTCTCCTATTTCTCACAGCTCATACAAACACAAATATATGACATACACACACACATGCATATATATTTAAATGTGTTTAAAATGGTCTCTCTTCCTAAATGGAAAGCTCCGTGTGGTGAGAGATAGTACTGTCTATCGCTATTCTAGCTCCTTGGAAGGAACTCAGTATAAAGTACTACACTAGTGAAGATGATAAATGTTGAAAATGATAACGATGAGGCTTTGACGCGTTCATGTGTCTGTTTCTTTGTGTAGTTGGAGCATACCTCTATATGAACTTGTGGTTGTGATTATTTGTCAGCCTGTCTGCCTCTCCCACCAGATAGTACTCTCTTCAATGGCAAGTCTCTGTGACTTATAGTCTTTGAATATCCAGCATCCGTGCAATGGCTGGTACAGCATGTATAAGTCATACATGTTTATGGAACTGAAACTTGAGATCCCAAATTGGGTTAGCCCAGAGAGAATGGTTAGGAGGGGTGGTTTGGCATATGGATGGGCAACATACTGGATTTGTACAACCTTACCCCACAGATTTCAATATTTGCAGTATAAAGGAACCCAGGGAGTAGTGACAATTCTTTCGTTCTTTCTCTGCATCTAAATAGAATAATTCAATATGTGCACACAAAAGTAAGAGACATATGCATTATGCAGGAGGTATTAGCCTAGTGTAAAAACTGTGTCATGTCTCAAGGGGTGGCCCTGTTGGATTTCAGAAGGAAACCACTAGAGAGATGGACGAGATGCTGAGCTATTTTAAATTACTGGAGAAAAGCTGATCACCACGACTGCAGTCACCATTTACTGCTTTATTTATTACATGTTTATTCATGTATGTTATTTGTTAACTATTACTTAATAAAAGTATTTATTTTGTAGATAAAGCATCTAAGGCATTAAACCTATAATAGTGAGGAGATAATAAAAGGAAACCTAATAATGCAGAGATTGTGAACTATGTGCTTAATACATGAGTGCTCCCCAAGGTCCATGTGCAGTTTGGGATAGTTGAACTGATATCTTCTGCTATAACCATCATAGTATGTGCAGTATGCTATTTATGTATCAAGTCCTATTTTCCGTGTCAATAACATTATGTGATATATAATGTAATCTCTTAATTAGAGAAAGAAAAATCAAGCAAAGTGGTATGGTATGTGGTTAAGAGCATAGTTTCAAATTGCCACTCTGTCACCTACTTAGTTATCTGATTCTGAGGCAAATTTCCTAATCTCTTTGAACTTCGTTTTTCTTCCCTGTAACACTAATGGTAATAATAATAAATACTAACTAACACTGACATATGGGTTATTGTGTGACATTCGTTATCTTCAGCACTTTGAATTTATTAACTGTTAATTTCACATCAACTCTATGAGATAAGCAATATTATTATGCCATTTTAGAGATGAAGAAACTTAGGCACAGAGAGGTTATGCAACCTGCCCAAATTTACACAGCTGGCAAGTGGTGAACTAAGTTACCCTCTCTTTAGAGGACGTGCTCTTAACCAGATCATACCTATGTTGTAAGAATTATTTAATTCTTTACAATTATTTAATTGTAATGCATGCAGAACAATTATTTTGTCTGGAATATTAATCTTATTATTAATATAACTCATAATATTAATAGTTATTCATAAAGTTTAGCTATTACTATAGTACATTAAAAATAGCACGTATCATCAGCTAGTGACTTTTGTTGGCCATATTGTTAAATACCAAAGTTTAGAAAAATAAAAAGATAAGGCTTTTTTCCCTAATAATTCTGTTAAAAGTAATAATATATGACAACAAAGCAATAATAAATTTGATTTTATATTAATATTTCTTTAAGAATATTATGGGTGTAAATGAAAGAGACTAGACATTAAAGAAAGTTCTGTTGATTGTAAACTAACAGTTAGTAGCCTGGTAAAGCTTAAATTCTCTGTCGTGTTTATTTGCAAGGCTGATTCTCATACTGAAATGGTTACCATCTAGATATTTAGTAAATGCAAATATGTACAAACATGTCAGGGTAAAACATTCAACACCAAGTAGAATCTGTGTTGTTATTATTATTATTGATAATACTATCATAGATTATTAAAAATATATATGATATCATATATCATCATATATTTCTTGCTCTACTGGTATTAAATATATCCACTTGAAAGTAAATAACCACTGCTTACAAGATTCACATTCTACAGCTTTATTTTTAGGATTTGAAGGCTAAAATAAACATTAGAAAAATCTTTCAGAGAATGTTTTGAAACAAGACATCCTAGGACTAAGACAATGAAAAACACTATTAATATATAAAGTGCCTAAATATATTAATAAACATTTATTGAGCAAGTGTTCCATGCTGGGCCCTGTGTGGTTCCTAATATCACTGACCATTATGGAATCATCATGGGCACATCTAGTCTAACAGTACAGAGGAGCAAGATAAGTTAACATGGCTGTATTTGGAAAGAAATTTTTAAAGAGGAAATGCAAAACACAGTACCACATTTAGCCAAGAGTTAGGGAGTAAACCATGTATTTTGAAACTAGCCTTGCTTACTTTCTTTTTTTATTAACTTTAAAATTTTTAAAGTTACTTTCCATTTACAGTTATTACAAAATATTGGCTCCATTCCCCCTGTTGTACAATGCATCCTTGAGCCTATCTTACACCCTAGCCATGCTGACTTTCATTTTCTCTCTGTCATCTATTAATCAGCCATCTCAGAACAAAATGTGACTTTTTGCGACAGAATGGAAAACACATCCAAAGCTTCATACGGTATTACTCGGTGTCCTGGATAAATAAGAACTCTAGAAAGCCAAGACCTCAAACTTTTATCCTTCTTGGGAGATAAAATGGTTTGACAGAAAGCGAAAAGATTAAGCAGCTGACCCACCATCTTCCAATATTTTCTGGACTATTTTCTTGATTCTGGGAGCTTCTGGGTCCAGACAGACTTTCTTCCCATTCTTCAACATTGCTCTGCAAGAGAGAATAGAATTATCCGAGAGCATCCTGGCACACTATCAGAAGGGATCCAACAGTGTCGGTAGGGATGGAGGTGAAGGGCTTCCCTAGTGAGGCAATACTGCAGAAGCAGAGACTTACATTACTTCGACTTTGGTGCAGTGGGGTCCTGCCCTGATCACTTCCAAACCTTGGATGTTACTGGGATGAATGCCAGAGGTGGTCTTCACACATGAGCAGCGAAGTTCAATGTACCGCCTTCTATCCATACTTTTAGCTAGGGTAGAAGGTGTGATTCTATGAGTGGTCATGATTATCTCAAGGATCTTCCCTATTGATGGGTACCTCTCTCACGAGGCCATTGCGAGTCTGATCTGTAAACCTTTAGTAAAGTACCCTAGCAGAATTGCTGGCACATGAGTGCATCGCCTCCATTTACAGTTATTCATATAATGCCTTTCTCTAGTCCCAGGAGCATCAGGACAGTCCATCCCCCAGATACAGCTGCAGCAGAAGCAGCCTCAGGTGCAGGGAAACAGAGACTCCACCTTCAGCTTTCCCTAAGTTTCTCTTACGTTCTCCAGTGGTGGAGGGAACCAGCGTGGTCAGGAGCAGTGACAGCGGCAGCAACACCTGCAGGACAGGAAGTGGGATGGCCCTGGGACAGGAGGAGGTGGTGCTGCCCCTGAGGCTCATGGCAGAAAAGACTGAGTTGTTAGCCTGGGAGTCTGCAGCTAAGTCGCTTTCACAGTCTCCTGCTGTCTTTTCTACACACTCCCTCAAGGCCAGTAAGGAGAAAAAGGATAGGGATGGGGGAAGTGAGGGTGTGTGGTAATATATGTGTAAGAGTGGTCAAGTTGTGCCCAACCCAGATAAATGCCAGGCGAGTCAAATTCCTGCTAAATTTCATTTTAAGCATCCCCGCACACTCTCACTCCCCCCTTCTCAATATCCATCTCCCTTACACATATTTAATACTCTACTTAGGCAAGAACTAGACTGAAATATTACATATATTTTCTTTGTATAATTATGTAATATGCCCTGCCTTTCCTATAATGCAATTTAGAGGCCTTATAGACACTTTATGTGTATCTGAAAGCATAAGTATGCGGCCCTCGAAAAAGAGAGTTATCTTCCCTTTCCGGTTGCCAAGGAAAGCAGATGTTCCTATCTTGGTTGTTGATAAGTATTGGGATTCGTTTGGAGTATGTGGATAAAATAGGAGCCAATTACCGTCAAAATCTCACTTTGCATATTACTTTATGGGCTTCTTTCTGTCTTCCAAATATATTATCTTTTGTAATTTTATCCAGAAACTAGAAGCAAACTCATCCTCCTTTCTGTTATAAAATAAACTACTTTTTTCTATCATCTGAGTATACCCTAGAAAACAAGACCCAGCAGCTTTATTTCTCATTATTAATCTAGCTGAGAAATGTATAATACAATTCACTGTAAAAGATTCATAACCTGCAGATGCATGTGGGATAAAGCATGCAAGTTCCTCTTCACCATTACTCCACATTCCCGGTCTCCGATGGTAACCACTGGTAACAATTTGGCACTAGTTTTCTATTCTCTCTACATTTATATACACACATATACATATACATAGAGCCACACACATAATATTGGGTAACTTTTTGGCCAACCCAATACACAGAGATAAACATATAGAGAGGTAGACATAGATTTTTTAAATATAAATGGGATTATTATATAGCTTTTGTCCTTCAAAAATATGTCTTCAGCATCCTTGCATGCTACCTCAGTGTCACTTTTCCCCATTCTTTTCAATGTCTGCATAACATTCTATAACATGGGCTCTTGTTGTTCAACTTCTGTCCCATTGGTGACCTTGAAGGTGTTTCCATTTTTGAACTTTTATATGAACTGCAGCAACACCTTTATTCCTCAAGTCTCAGACACCAATTAAGGGTCTTGATCTCAAACCCCACATGACAAAGCCCTGCAGCTATGCAGAGATAGACCTGCACATCACATACTGGCTTGCATATGCTATTGTCTGGATCTCTGCCCCATCTGTGAGACCTGCTTCCTCAACAGGACTGTACACTTTTTTTTAAGGTTTTTAAAATAACGTTTATTTCTTAAAAGTTAACATGTGCATAATAGGAAACCGAAAAACACAAGAAGCAAAAATCAGTCGTCCATAATCACAAGCAGTTTACTGTTTGATGCGTCCTTCTAAATCTCATTTGTGTATCTACACAACTAAGCATCCATTTTTATGTAATTCAGATTTTACAGTTATGTATCATGCTTTTTCCCACATCATGAATATTTACCATTTCAAAGTCCCACAGCTATATGAGTATTTTTATAACCAAGAATACACTACAGCAACTCAATCTGGAAGGAAAAAAATATAATCCTGCCTTTCTTGGCAATAAAAATTTCATAAAAAACAAAAATGGCAACAGGCCTTTAGACAGATATTGGCAGACTTATGATTAAAATACTACATTCCCGTAATGTGAAATTAAAAATGAGACATAACACAACAGAGTACACAAAGCATAATGCTTCTAAGAGGATTCATTATCTGATCTAAACAATTAAAGTATTAGCAAGAAGGTATGTTTCCATTGACTTACTTAACAATATATTCCTATAGCACAGCCAAGAGATGCACACGCAACAATGGTTATCATCAAAATATAAATATGAACACATCCCTCCCTTTATACTTCCTTCTGCCCCTCTTCTGCCAACCTAATGAAAGAGTCCTGACGTATATTTCTGAGACGGTTTAACCATTCCATATCCAAGGTGCTGCTTTTTAAAAAAATCAATTATAACAAAGATATTTACAAATTGGTTAATTCACTAGCTCTATTTTTTTTTTTTTTTTTGTGGTATGCGGGCCTCTCACTGTTGTGGCCTCTTCCCGGATGCGCAGGCTCAGCGGCCATGGCTCACGGGCCCAGCCGCTCCGTGGCATGTGGGATCTTCCCGGACCGGGGCACGAACCCAGTCCCCTGCATCGGCAGGCGGACTCTCAACCACTGCGCCACCAGGGAAGCCCACTAGCTCTACTTTTTATCCTACATCGTCTCCTCTGATCATCTAAAAATCTTAGATGTTGCAAAGTAAAGAATGAACCTTGTCCACAATAAACATAGGTACTTTACAAAACTGCACATATAGCCTATGGTTATAGCCTAAAACTGTCTTCTAGACATGGAGATATTAGCCAAGAGCCCTTCCTTTCACCCTTCCTCTTACCCTTCCACCAGCATTTCAATGACTAAGTACAGGACTACATCTAGCTCTAAGAAGTGGATTAACATATACACTCCCAGAAGACACAGCCCTTCCTAAAAAACAACAAAAGAGCATTTATAAAGGGATTATTTTACTACCTCTACTTTTAATATATTTTGGGCATTAGGACTTGTTTATTCTTTAATGCACAGCAATATTAACTGAAATGCACAAGTAGTACAATGGTTAGACAATCTGAACGTCTAGACTCATGGGCACAGAACCCCCCTCTGTACACTTTTGAATACAGAGGCATGTCCAAGGTTTCTTTGAAGGCCTCATGTATCCTATAATGTGTAAGGTAACACAATATACAGTAGGTCTTAGCTAAACAGTGTTAGTGAATAAATCAATGAATATGTATCACTAAAGGAAAGTTTCGTTTTCATTTCTAATCAGTCACAATTCTCAAATTAGACTTCACATGGCCCAAAGTACCTGTGGTATAAAAAGGTGATTTGGAAGGCTGGGCAAAAACTATGAGGCCCCAGACACAGGTTGTCTTCCTCTTACAACTGTGTCCAAATCTTACACAATATTCAAACTTCCCATTTTCTTTTTTTCTTATTTATTTATACCTTTAAAATTTTAGAAGAAACTGTTAAAATATTAAATGTATAAGATTACTTTTTATCAAAAGAATGACTGCAGTAAATGATTTCCAGCTTGTAAAAAATTTTAAGCCAATTTTTCCTGTTTTTAGCAGTTACTGACTATGCGTACTGAGGTTCTTATTTCCTGTTTTACAATGTATTCCTTATTTTTCTCCACCCCATTTGTTTTCTTCTTATAACTTACAGTCTAGCAGCAGAACATACTAAATTAACCTGATTTTCCACCTCTCCCAACCCCAAAATTCATAGTCTAGCAGGTAAGCTTAAGGAAAATCTTAAGCTGAAAAAAATTAGTATCCTTCTAAGAGTGATCATGTGAAGTGAATTATAGAAAGAATTTCAACAGGAAATAGAATCAGGAGAGCAAACTTCCTTCTGGTTCTTCCTGAGTGATGATGGTATAGCCTTTCCCCATTATTGTGATTAAACTATTGCTAATTCACAAATCAGATATGTTTGTATTCAACCATAAGCTCAAAACCATTTCCACAGCAAGATATAAAGTTTTTTGGCATTATTCATCATATCATTCTTTTTCTGTCCATCCCACCTCTCCCCTCTGCAACACGTACTGTTTACTGTATCTGTGAGTTTCACTGTACGCGTCTTCCCCCTCCCCGACCCCCATACAAACACTATCCACACTTCCTTCCTGGTTCACTTACTAAGATTAGTCAAAAGTTCCTAATCCTTTTGGGGAAACTATATGGAAAGTCTTCTGAGCTAATGATGCTACTTGACTTAGTTGATACCAGGAAAGAGGTAGGCATGTAGCACAGGATCATCAACTCATTGTCTTAATCAACAAGTGTATTTTGTCACAAAAGACACATTGACAGCAAGGTTTGTGAGGAAGTATTAACACATTTCTTGAGTCACTAAAATTTCACAAGCCTATTAGTTAGCGTGTGAGGTAAATAACGTTTTGCTAGTTTTCATTTCTTCAATATGTATTAAGTATCTACTATGTGCCAGGCATTACAAAGTCTCTTTCCTGTGTGACTTAGTCATTTAACTACTTCTTTTTTAAAAGTGAGATCTCAAATATTTGTGCAAAGCAATGGGATATAAATACTAATTTGCTATTACTACTACTACTATTGCTAACTGCTATTACTGTCACATGCATGATTTTCTTGGATTTCCATGAAGAGAAACATAATACTGACTTGAATAACCTGACTATACAGAAATGGGTAAAAAATATTTTAAAATCAGTTATTCAAGCAAAAGAAGTTACTTTATGCAAAGTTATAACTTCAGAGAATGCTAGAAAATTAGTGTCAGAGGTTCTTGGGTTTAAGAATAACTTGACAGCTTTTTATGACTCTTACTTTGTCACCCTGGGTTTTTTTTTTGTGGTAAGTTACTTTATCTCTTTTTCCTTTAAGTCATTGTCTTATAAATAGCAGTGTCATTCAGTAAACTAGCAAGTTTTCTAAGATTCAGAACAGAACTTACCTGTTAGCTATTTTAAAAGAAAATATCTAGAGACACTGGAGGAACATTAGCCTTTAAAATTAAAACATATATTAATTCTGCATTAATTAGAATGTTTTGAACTGACATCTCCTAAATATGAAGGGGATAAGCCACTGCCTACAAATTAGTAATAAAACAACCAGTACACTAGGGGCAGGACAGGAATAAAGATACAGATGTAGAGAATGGGCTTGAGGACACGGGAAGGGGGAAGGGTAAGCTGGGATGCAGTGAGAGAGTGGCATGGACATATATACACTACCAAATGTAAAATAGATAGCTAGTGGGAAGCAGCCGCATGGCACAGGG